ATGAGTTATCAATACCATATATTATACTTAAAACAATATATAAGACCTTTCTGCCTAGTGCAGCTCGCTCAATTGTGTTTGATGAACCAACCTACCTGCAAAGAAGATGAACTTGTATTCTCTATTTGGCTCTTCATGCATATGTAGCAAGAACTTGTACCTTATTAATATTTATCCCACCTCTCATTCTTCAAAGCCCCTCCACTGATGCTCACTGATCCGTGACTTTTTTTTCTTCCTTCAGAACCCATCAAATATCTGAGACCTCCACCACTTGTTCTTCATCAGCACCGACTACGTTCCTCCAGGCACCACTTCTCCCATCTATTGATTCCCTCCAAAGTCATGCACCAAATTCATAGGCATAATTTGATGACAGTCAAAACAGATATTTACACAAAAAATTTCAGTAGCTGAGTTTCTTTCCTTCTAGGATTGAGCCTCAGAGAAGAAGTTAAATATGATTTCCCTCTGCCTGTGACTGTCATACCAAACTCTTAGAACCACTGGATATAAGTTTATCATCATTTATATTTGAATGACAAACCAAGGTTATGGTGAAAAGTTTCACCTTCACGCTGCTCTTATATTTAGATGCCAAGAACAATACTATTCTTTTGACAAATCAACTGATGCCTACCTCCTCTCAGCTTAGAATATCGTTCACTTATTTGTCTTCTTTACACAGTTGCGCATGTGGCTTGGGAGAAACTTTTGCATGGTTTTATACTCCTTTTCATGTTATAGTTTCCAAACTCTTGTGATAATTTCATTACTGGAAGTAGGTTTGAGAAAATACTGGAGTTGGTGAAACTAAGCCGAAGATTGAGCATGTGCCGTTTCTAATTTCATCCTGAATTGTTTTAATCAGTAGTAAGATTTTTAAAACTTCTAAGTTAATATTAATTTCACTATTCCTTTATACCCAGGGAACTAGTCGTCCGGCTCATTACCATGTTCTTTGGGATGAGAACAATTTTACCGCCGATGGAATTCAGTCACTAACGAACAATCTCTGCTATACATATGCAAGATGCACCCGGTCTGTCTCTGTGGGTAAGTTGCCTCTTTGAATTGATTGGGCCATAGCTTTCCCTGCATTGCCATGGATGATATTGGTCCATGAATTATATGATTGATCATGTTCTAGTTTACCATATAAGAAATTATGAAAGACAAGGTCAGTCATATGATTTTTCATCAAACTGACCCATGATCTATTGTTTTTTGCAGTTCCTCCTGCATATTATGCACATTTAGCTGCATTTCGAGCCAGATTCTACATGGAACCCGATGCTCAGGACAATGGCTGTGGTGCCGATTCAGGTGGCAAGACTACTCGAGCAGCTGGAGAGTCGGGGGTGCGACCTTTGCCGGCCCTAAAAGAAAATGTAAAAAGAGTAATGTTTTATTGTTAGAAAGAGAGTATTAGAAATTGCAAGTAGGGTTCAGAACAAGGCTTCCGTATACATGCAGAACCTTGTTTGTATATGTATGATTAGATGATACATGGTTTTGGCTTTTGAACTGATCGCTAGTGTAAAGGGTAGCTCGCATTAGTCTAATATTAGTACAAAGCTTTTTATTAAGAGTAATGTTATTCATTAGCAAGTTCAATATGGCAATATTGTCAACGTCACAATATCCAATAAAGTTAGAATTTATTTTTATTAATTATATAATGTGAGAGTAGCTTGATCGTCACACTGCACGGTGATCATGTGTTAAAGAATAATAATTTTTTTCTTATACTCTTGATTAGAATTTTCTTTTTTTAATTAGGATGTTGCGAGCGAGCTATTCAGTTCGACCCATGTAACATTCCTAATTCAACTCGAAATCGAGTTTCTTTTTTTACCTTAATAAAACAAAATATACATGAGTTGAAATTTGCTCAAATATTCAATCTTAAGTAATTTAAGATTCTGAATTAACATTTAAAATACACTTTTTGACATATTCTAGAATTGGTGCTCAAGTCCAAGAATGTCACATCTACTATCTTTTCTTATATTGATAAACACATAAAATACCGTGATGATTTCAAGTCAAGGGATTAATTTGATAAACATCATTTAGAAATAATCCACTTACATTGACGTTGTCGTCATCCATGTGAAATCTCTATAGAAGATCTCCAATAAATTCTTCAACTGACAAACATTTGCATATTTACTTGAG